TAAGGGGATTTAGGGAAACCACAAAGGGCTCTGGAGCTTTTACAGTAACATACATGGTGAGCAGAAAGATAGAGCAGAGAAAATTGTGAGCTTAAATTATAATCTGACCGTTTACATCTTAAATGTGAAAAAAAAGAGCAATAATTGTTTAGACAGTAATATATGCCAACACCCTTTGCGCTCTGCAACATTACTACAAATCGTATTGTTTATTTTCCATATGTTTAATTCTGTGTATGACATGTACATTGTTTGTCCGAACCAATTAACTAATGGACATTGCCATAGATACCAATGTTTAGTATATAGATATTTTGTACTAAGGATGTAATATGCAAGCCACTAAAAAAGAACTATCCTATGAAAGATGTGTTAACCTTAATATCTCAAAACCTCTCATCGATACAGCCTTATAGTAACAATGTCAAGAATCAATTAGTTATGTTTTTAGCTAAAGTCAATTAAAAGATTTGTATTAATAGTGCAATAAATAAGAGGGAGTAACATTCCAGAGCTACAGTGAAACACAGTTTAATCTGTAGTGGTGAATCACTGCAGCCTGTGTGGGTGAGTTACCACCATACTATGGTTAAGTATGGTAAAGAAGGTCCCTCAGGTCAATCCTATGGTGGCACCATAGGATTGACCTGAGGGACCTTCTTTAGCTTTGCATACCTAGGCCTGAAGATTGTAAGGCTAGGTTACACCTCAAACCAGATGACAGGATTAATCTGGCCTCAGCAACCCTCCCCTCCATCTGGCGCGACAGCCGAGCAACAGCAGAAAGGAGCAAGGATGCCTCTGACTCCTCAATGAATACTAATCTCTCATCTCCGATTCCGATCCATTTCTGTCCTTTTACACGTTAAAAGAAAAAGAATAATAATCACCTGTATCCCAGGGCTATCACCTACCATTTTAGAACTAACCTATCACCAATTAGGCATGGAAGAAAACTCATCCGACAGGATGACACTACAGAACAAAAGCCATCTTCTCCTATTGCTTCACCATAACAGGACTATAATCTTCTAGCGTCTAAGTGCAAAACTCATCTGCCGCCACCAGACAGCTCAGTTTGTACCTGCACTCAAAAAAAACAAACATACATTTTATACAGACTAGCAGTTTTCACACATTTTAAACTGAAAATCAATCTTCCTCTTTGGATAAAAGCAAACATTTTAAAATGCCAATGAAACAGTGTTTTGCATTCATAGTGCTTTAAAAAAATAAAAAGCCTCCGTAAGAGTAGCATCCTCTTGCAATTAAAGTTTTGATGCCGAAGAACAGCACAAATGTCTGAAATATATTTAAGCATTAATAGCATTTATTTGTCTCAAACCATAAGATAAACTCCTCGTAAATCGTTTGTTGCTGGAGACAATAGTATGCCCATTGCAGAGTGTGTGAGTGTGAGTGCGTGTGTGTGTGTGCCTTGTCTCTGAAGTTCACACACTGGTTTTCTACCCACAGCTATGGTCTCATTTAAAGAGCGAATGTACCTCATTACTGTGTGCCATTTCCCTGGGTGCACCTGGTCTAAATCATCAAGACCCTCGCCCACGCCTGGGGTGTCAATGACACATTGCTCGTGGATGCCTCGTTTACATACCACAATCAACGGGGATATCCTACAGGTAGTACAAACGTAAACACATTTGATTTGAATGCTTCTTCCTTTCGTATTTTTCAGACAGAGCTAAGATGAGGCTAAACTGCAACATGACAATCTAATTGGGCGAGTGGGAAGATTTTTTTAAAGTGTCTGGATATTCTCATCTCCCCAGTGAACAAACCGGACTGGTCACCAGTAGCCACATCATTAGCTACATGAAGATGGAACGTAGGTGGAGAGGTGAAAGTGGGTCACAAGGTGTCACAAAGTCTGCTTGATATTCATACATGCATACCACCAATGAAGCACATTGTGGTTGCAGCATTAGGTTTAATGATTCATGCTGAGATTATCTGTCTCTTGTGTTTCAGTGAATATATTTTCCCCTTGGACTACAAAGGATACATATAATTACATGCATTTCAACAGATTTGCCAGAATACACAAAAAGTTGATCTGAGGGTTTATGAACTTTTCATTTATTGTGTTTCCTCATTTACATTTCTTGTTCAATTTTAAAAAGAGAGGAAGAATGCAAACCAGATGAACAGTAACACTTCTAATATAAACTACATACACTGTACGTCTGATCAACTTGCATGTCTCAATACAGTATTTCAAAAAGGCGTGTGTTTTGGCAAACAATATATTTTTTACAACCTGTCAAGATCTTCATACATTTGAAGAGACATCGCAATCTTCATGTTACAGCTGAATAAAGACAGGGAAATTCATCCTCTAAGTGTATACGCCAGTGTTTCCCCTAAATACAAATAGTGGCGGCGCAGTGCAGCTGCTGAAATATGCGCGCCGCTACTAGGGGGCGCCAGCCAGGTAACCAATAAAATAAATATATTTTTACTTTTTTTATTTTTATTAAAATAATAATAGGTGGCGACCCTTTTTCATTTTTGATTGTTTGTTATGTGGATTTTTAGTATTTGTGTTACTGTATGTTCAATAAAGGTGTAATTTTGCTAAATCTTGAGACATTGCCACTGTATGTACTAGGCAGGGCCGATCTTTGGCATAGGTCGCCAGATCTGGGGGGTGCTGTGCTGGTAGCTCTGGGAGGGGAAACAACATTTTTGACCGTTGGTGCTCATCCTAATTTTCGGCCTTGATGTAACAACATTCATAATTAAGTAAATGTAACACCCTTTTCACCCCGGTTACACTTTTCATTTGCCCTGTACGATGGGCACTGCAAGTGATGAAAGTGGGGGACTACTTGTGAAGCTTTTCCAGAAGGCGGTTAGATCACCTGACGACAGAGTCGGTCTCCGTGTGCACAGACAGGGCTGCTGTTAACGTCGGTCTGTACAACGGAATTGTGCCAAAACTACGCCAACCGGCTGCGGAGGGAGACTCCCCCCCCTTCACTGGAGAACTGCGCTAAAACAGCTGATCACAACGTTCACGCTATGTGGTCACGAAGTACTCCACTAGCCCCCCCGTCGACTTTCCTGAAGTACGTACACCCCCCAATTCAAACATGTTCATAAAATACTGAATGCATTTGAAGCCATTTTGACGTATATTACATATGTCAATACGTTTCTGTTTTTGTAGTGTATTTATTCTTTATATATAAGATCTCGCCTAAAATCTCGCCTAGAGCAGCAAATTGGCTAGAACCGGCCCTGGTACTAGGCCTCAAGAGCCTTTCTTGTGCTGGCAGACACACAGAAACAAATTGGCGGGGCGCACTTCGCACGTGCACACTAAAAAAATCCACATGTGTATGTGTCCGCATCTGTAGCCTGTTATTGTCTCATTATACCGCACTGTGAATGAATCAAAGTAAATATATAAGTGTTCATGAACACATCTGTCCATCAGACAGAGGGCTGCTGTGCCTCCTGTCATCATTAATGGACGTCTCTTTAAAATGACCGCTCAGAGGAGAGGAGTTCTCATTTCTCTAACCGCCTGCTGCTTCCCCTCCTCAGTCCTCGGTTCCCCTCCTCAGTCCTCCGCTCGCATCTCCTGTGGGCGGGACTAAGTGTCGAGGAAAGGAGTCGATGAGGGGAAATTAGAGTATTGAGAAACCTCTCTCGTGTCTCTCGCTCGCATCTTACGGAGGTGGAGCTAAGATGCAAGGAAGGGACGCGAGTGAGGGAAAGGAGGAGTC